AGGCATACCAGTCTCCAGTGCCTATCCTTCAGATGCAAAACACATTCTACTAGTTGCTAATGTTAGGATGCTGACTACTATTAAGGCAACTAAAAATAATTAATGAACTATAGACACAGTACCAAAAACCAGGTAACACTAAGCTATTCTTTCTGGGACATGAGCTGGCAAATGTGAGTCTGACTCCCTCCATTCACTATGGCTTCAGGAGGGAAGCCCTATTTGTCCCTTGGCTTCCTAAATTCTGTACAGATATTAAGGTGTTTACTGAATTCAGAGGGGGAAATAAAATTACTACTTTTGCACACAGCAGATTGAGAAGGTGGGGAAAGGATTTCTTCTCCCTTCATTAAAGAATGTGATGCTTCTAAGATTCTCCATCTCAGAGGGTTTGTTTGTTTGTTTGTTTTACAGTAATTGGCTCTAAGAAAGAAACACTACATTAAGGCTAGCAAGACCATTAGATATTAGTATTCACATAGCCAGGAAAAGCGACAACTGTAACATGGTAACTACTAAAACAACCAAGCATTGGGGGAGCTGGACAAAACCAGAGTTCCTGGACCTAGCAGACCTAGGTATGTATCTGTGAGACTCCCAACAGCATATCTCATCCTCTGTAACAGTGTCTGAAACAGCTTTCTAACAAGTGAACATCATTCTAAACCATTACTTGTCTGACCAGAATTATTACAAATTGACTTTAAGACATGAGAAGAGAGAAACACTCTATTTCTTCATGGGCTACTGAATGCATGCAAGATTTCTGGGACTTCAAGTCCGTGAGCTGGACTCATGGGTTTCTGGCTCTTCATCCTCTACTGAGCATAGGCAATACAAGTGCTTCTCACCGTCTACATTTTACACATACATTCAGTTTCCCCAGAAAAGTTGGAAAATAGTGATGCTACATATTAGTATGTATAGATGTGCTAAGGTACATTTGTGGAAAATTGTACTGTCCATTGTAGTGGAAACTTGGACAAAAAAAACTAGGGAAGAGTATGAGAGTATTGCTCAGGCAAGGCCAAAACACAACTGGAGTTGAAGTAAGCAAGGATGTGAAGGGTAACAAGAAGGGTTTCTACAAGTATGTCAGTAATAAGAGGTAGATTAGGGGTAGTGTGGGTTCCTTACTAAAAGGGGGGAGGCAACCTTGTGTCAGAGGATGCAGAAAAGGCTGAAGTACTCAATACCTTTTTCACCTTAGTCTTTCCAAGCAAAGTCAGCTCCCAGAGTATTGCACCTGGCAACACAGTTTTTGGGAAAGGTGAGCAGCCAACTGTGGCAAAAGAACAAGCTGCGGATTATTTAGAAAAGCTGAACATATGTAAGTCAAGGGGGCCAGATGGGATGAAAAAATCATTAAACTATATATATCAGACATATGTCTGATATATGGCAAATATGATATATCAGATAACTGTACTGTGTATATGCAAACTTTATCTCCTCTTGTCAGATGTGATATTTACAAAAACTTTTGTCATATACAAAAACTAAGTCAGGTTGTAGCAAAACCCCCAGTTTCCTTTTTTAATTTTAAAATGCATTCCCTTCCCTTCCCCAACCATTTCTGACTTTTTCTTTTCCTCTCTATTCCCTATAGATAAGTATAAGTGAGCGAAGACATAGGATAAGCTTCAGCATTTTATTTTGATAGAAAGTTATATTTGTTTTGTTTTTTCTCCTCCTTTATATTGTATAATTATGTTTATATTGCTTTTTACTGTTCTATATTACTGTTTTACTGGTACTATATGCTTTAGGCCTACATATGTAAGTTAGCATAAGTCATGTCAAGCCCCCATCTTATCCCCATGCCCGGTTGTGTAACCCATGACTCATACCTACCTCTCCTATGTAACTTAGTTCCTGAATGAATGGGGATGAATGAGGGTGCTTGAGAGACAATGGCAGTAGGTCTAAAGATAGCTGCCTCGGAATGACCAAACCATTAACACCAATACCTGGACCAATGACTCAGCCATTGGAACCACCCTCAGCATTCAAGAAACAAAATGATGAGGCAACCCACCACTGTGCCAAGACTGCACATGCTCAGTAAGAACACCTGGAGCCCTCTGGGATAGGACTGACATGGTCTGGACATGCCCTCCTCATAGGAGATCAGAGGTAGTCTGTCCCATAAAAAGGGGTAGTGAAGACTGACTCTTTGGGACTCCCTCTCCATCTGGACCAGCACCATGCCACACCACCTATCCACCCAGAGGCCCTGCCAGCAATCTCCCTCTGGACAACACCTATTGGACAAAGACCCCTTTTTAGCCTGGATAGATAGCTATCACCCCCACCCCCCTCTTCAACCAAGGACTTGAACTCTGCTTCTCTTCCCTACCTGGACTCCAACCTTTCCACTGAGTCTTTTCCTCCTGCTGCCATTGTGAGTGCTTGCGTGTGCATGCGTGAGAACCAATAACTTCATGGGGCTGCATAGCATGTTGTCTGTTTAATAAACTTGTTATTTGGACCCCCGAGTTGGGTTTTGTTCAGCCCTGCTCCAATCTCTGCTCCTCGCCCCTCGAACTTCTGTCTCATTTCTCCCTCTCCTGCTTCTGGCTCACTGCCACCTCCAACACCTGTCCTGAGCTCCTCTCTACCTCCAAACCCCCTCTTTCTTTGCCACTGTCTTATCCCCACTGCCTTTTCCCCTGAGCAATTAGATTTCTGCCTCAGTTTCTTTCCTGGCTGTCTCCTCCTTGCCCCCAGGCTTCTTTTCTTTTTCTCCCTCCCATGCACCAGTGACCTCGAGCAATTCTGGGGCCACTGAATCTTAAGTAAATTCAAGCCTCAGGTCCTCAGGCAGCTTCTCTCTAGTGCACCGGTTCTAATCCCAGTTCTGGCAACTTTCACTCCCTACACTTTAACTCTCTCTCTCACCTTAACCTTCCCCCAAGTATCCCAGGTACCCCAAGAACACACACACATACCATATCATCCAACTTACCTATGTGTAGGTGTGTTGTATGCGAGTGAACTGGTGATCTGCGTATGTGTACTGAGTTTGTGGGTACTGACAATTAATTTTTGTCTAATTTTTAGTGTGGGGTATGTATGTGCTTGAATTGGTGATAGGTATGCATGCGCCTAGGCTGGTTTGGGGGGAGGGGGGGTGTGTGTGTGCGCGCACGCACACACCTAATTGATCTGTGTGTTTGTATATGTGCAATTGTGTCATACCCTCCTTTCTAATAGCACAATATTAAGATCCTGAGAGTTGGCCTGACCCCAAAGGGCAACAACATAAGCCATTTACAACATGATTGTTACTTGCAATGTAGACTATTTTGAAAACCTCATGCCACTGCCAGAAGTAAAAATATTAGCAGATGTTAGGAAAATTATAGTTAGTTACATGGGTTCATAAGGATTGAAGAACGTACGGGACTTTGCACTTGGTGACTACACAGAACATAGTTGGAATATGATGGCACAGTCTGAAACATGCAGTTGGTCATGCAGCCTACATCCATCTCTAACCACATCTGTCTTTGCCCGACCTGCTGTGTTTCCATACATATAGTGGTAGGAAAGGAACTGGTAGTGACATTTATTTTTAGTTAACCTTTTTCCATTAAAAACTTTTTTTGAGGAAAATATCAGTGCATTACAAAGAAAGCAATTCAAATCCTCAGACCTATTGATGGGAGTGTTGCATAGAAAATGCTTCAAATACCACTGTTGAGGCCCTGGTTGGATGAATCTATCCAATTTTGAGCATCACATGTTGAGAAAGATCTTGAGAAACTGGAGAGGGTCTAGCTAAGAACGGCAAGAGTTTTACTATAAGAAGATTTGCCCAAATATAATGATGTATACTGTTAAATGATCATATTATTGAGCTAAATCCATACAGACTGTCTCAGACTTATGGTCAAGGTTGTACAGGAGCTTGACAGAACTGGTTCCCCTTTTAAGTAAAGATGATTTTAGTACAATAATATGTGTCAGTTATGTAGTTTTACAAATTGTTGTAATTTCTTCACAATATAATCAAAACCATGGTTGACTCCTTGAGCAAACAGCTGATTTGATTTTAACAAAATGTGCTAGAATTACTATTTTGGGGCTAAAATGATCTTTATATTGGACAGAATCATGTTAATAAATTATAACAAATTTCTGTACTATATAATGCTAATATTCCTAAAATTTACAAAAGCTAAAATAAATTAGATAATGGGGTCCTTTAGCCAATATCCGTTCTCAGTGGGCATGTCTACAAGTTAATTAATGTGCTGTAGTTACTGCACGTTAAGTTTAGTACTAGGTTTACCCAGTACTAAATCAATGCATAGTAATTTGCACTATTACACAGTAGCACTGGTATATGGGCTTTTTGTGACACTTACTGTGCAGTAGCCTAATCCTACTGCACAGTAGTACATTAGCATGGTTTTTGCCCAGCATACTACTGCACAGTTAATGTCCTGTGTAGATGCACCCAGTGACTTTCAATGAAGTTATTTTGGATTTAAACCAATATAAGTGAAAGAGAATTTTGTCTGTTGCCTTCAAGGTTACTTTCAAGACATCCTTATTAAACAAAAGGAAAAGTGTTCATTTTAACCTGTGCTTGTTTCTTGATGAGGCACTTATGATTACATGAGTTGTCCTCCTGTTGTGTAGTCTATAAGTGATTTGGCTTATAAATGAGTTGGCTTAGATTTGCCTGCAACCACATGATCTCAAGAAGTAATCCTGTTATAACCGACTAGGGTTAGCAGAGTTTAAACTGTACTGTATCTGGGGGTTCTAGGATGGTGATTCTCAACAAGGGTGCCACAGCACACTGGGGTGTCTTGAGATCCTTTTAAGGGTATTGTGAGGTGCTACACAGTATTAATGCTGTTTGGTGTGAAAATATAATTCACACAAAACTAGGGGTTTCAAATAGGATCTTCCTGACTTATTAATTTTGATTTTTTTGCAACAAGACAATTGCTCATTTACTGTTAGTCAAAAAATGAGAGAAAACTAGGACTTGGCATTTTCTGAGGGCTGCCTCAAGTCTAAAAGTGTTGAGAACCAATGCAATTGTAAGAATTCAATAGAAAGACATCATCTCTAAGAGTTTTTAATAAACAGGCTCACAAACTCTGGGCCAAGGTGCTATCTTTCAGGTGATTGTAAAAGTGAGAACCTGACCCTTTAATAAAAATCCTATATAGCACTCTTTTTTTAAAAGCCCAAAGAGGCATGTTGAAACCAATACAAAAGAAGTGAAACTTGGGTAATTATATTTCTTTCAATTCCATTCTACATGCAGTTAGATATGATAGTATAACTCTTTTTGACCCAAGTGGGTCGATAACATTTAGGATTCTGTAAGTTATTCAATTTAGGATGCAATTCGGTATCCGAATTGGATGCAATGCGATGCGGCGGCTAGTAAAGCTACCAAAACGCTGGCTTGCATCCATAGATGCTTCTCAAGCAAATCCCGGGACGTCATTCTCCCCCTGTACTCAGCCTTAGTGAGGCCGCAGCTGGAGTACTGTGTCCAGTTTTGGGCTCCACAATTCAAAAAGGATGTGGAGAAGCTTGAGAGAGTCCAGAGAAGAGCCGCGCGCATGATCAGAGGTCAGGGAAGCAGACCCTACGATGACAGGCTGAGAGCCCTGGGGCTCTTTAGCCTGAAAAAGCGCAGGCTCAGGGGTGATCTGATGGCCACCTACAAGTTTATCAGGGGTGACCACCAGCATCTGGGGGAACGTTTGTTCACCAGAGCTCCCCAAGGGATGACGAGGTCGAATGGTCACAAACTACTTCAGGATCGTTTCAGGCTGGACATAAGGAAGAACGTCTTTACTGTCCGAGCCCCCAAGGTCTGGAACAGCCTGCCACCGGAGGTGGTTCAAGCGCCTTCATTGAACACCTTCAAGATGACACTGGATGCTTATCTTGCTGGGATCCTATGACCCCCGCTGACTTCCTGCCCTTTGGGCGGGGGGCTGGACTCAATGATCTTCCGAGGTCCCCTCCAGCCCTGATGTCTATGAAATCTATGATGCAAGTTTTATTTTTACATACAAGAATATACACAGACTGAATTTCTGCCATACAGGACAAATCTTAAAACACACACAACTAGAGGCATCTGGAGCAATACTCCAAAAATGTTTCAGCAAGCACTGCAGCTTAGACGCTATCCCTATGTTATTCAAACTGTGTTGAAGCATCCTTCCCTCCCTTTGTTTTCTCTCTCCTTCACCTCACTATCTCCCATACAGTTTTGCCACCAGCAGACCCAGGATTTTGTAAAGAGGAAGTGTGGAAGAAGCCACTGGTGCTGCAGGAGTTGCTGCACCCCCACTCCCAGACAAGTAGGCACATTCTGCAGTGGGAGCAGAAGCAGGGACCTTTTTTTAAAATCCCCCAATCTCCCCCCACCACCTCTCTCAGTGCTCAGTGACATGTCAGCATCAGTGGCACCAGATCAGTTCTTTCCCCACCCCATGTCAGCTCCAGGCCTGAAGGAAACATCCGGTGTGTCCACACACACACACAAGCCAGAGACGGAAAGTAGAGTCCCATTGTGGGGAGTGGAATGGGAAGCAGGGGAAAGAAGGGTGGGGGAAACTGTTAGTTCCTTTGAGGTCTTAAATCAAATCTGATTGCTGCTGTCCTGGCATTAACTGAAGCAGGGGGCG